CGTGGTTCGTCCGCTTGGAATAGATTTCTCCTGTTCGGCAGGGAAGAGATAAATTGAAGGCAGGAACAAGCGTTGTTTTGTTCATTTTTTCTAATTTTATTGTGATATTGAACTGTTGATGAACTTCACTGGACGGATACTTGTATATAAACTGATGCGAAAATTAGGTCTTCTTTTGTTTTGATAGTGGACTCTGTCTTCGAGATCGATGAATTAAATCTTATTTGTGAATTTTGTTTCATCCAATGGAGAAAGGCATTTTGTTGAGATTTAAACCATGAGATACGTTCTTGTCAAGATGGATTCATTTGTAAAAAGTCTCAAATTCTGAAGGAAATCAACTTCTGTTTTCTCTGTACAGAGCTCAGAATTAGAATCTTAATTTGATGATTGTGCGATGGAAATACGAACAGAAGATTACAGTTCTTTTTCCTTTTATGGCATTTGATACCAGAACTATGCGACATCGGAATCTATTGTTGTTGAAGGCCTGTATTGTTTGCAATTGGAATTGTTGATTTGATTTAGTGTGCAAATATGAGTGCTGTACTCTGTTGAGATATCCTTTCCTGGCTGAGAAATTATTGAATGCTCATATGGTAAGTATTGTATTATGAGGGCTTAGAAATGGGGTTTTGATAATAATATGGTTAAAAATCTTACTCTAGTGTATGAACTTTAATTTAATTTATAATGCTAACGAATTGGATCAACTCGACTAAGATGATAGATGAAATGCTTAACTTGTTTTATGATTTAATTATGACTTTGTTTGTCTCCCTTGTATAGGTTGGGGAAGGGTCGGGTGGATTACCTTTGGGAGTTAAGTTGATGATCTCGGTGGTCTTGTTAGTGGTTGATAAACTACGATTGCAGTTTTCTTTAGTAAGTCTTGGCTTAAGATAAGAGACAAAGAAAACGGTTGATACTTCCACCTTTACCTTCAAGCTTCTAACAATTTAGTTTTTAGAACTTTAGCGTGACCTCTCATAGCGGAAGTTATAGTTTGTAGCGACAACGGAAGACTTTCAGAGAAAACCAAAATTATACCTCCAAAAAGAAAAAAAAAGAGGGAAAAACTGATCTTCGGTCACTTAGGCATGGTTTATGCTATGATCAATATAGGTGATTTCTTGTTTGGACTCATCACATGATTACTGTGGGCTTAGACGTTGATACCCGTGCTTGGGTATGCGCAAGAGCCCTTGACAGGCACTACAAGACCTACCAATGTTCATAAAAACTCGTAACCCTCTCCTATCTAAGACTATTTCCACTCTGTGTATTTTTAAATTTTGTAATTTTTACATATTAAAATTAGTCTTAAAATTATAGCTATTAAATTGAAATAAATGGTTATGTGCGTAATTTTAATAAGTTTATTTTTGAAAATTTATCCTTATTTTGATGGATATTTTAGTTTACAAAATCGATATCGAACACATACTAATTACCGTGTAGAGAGCCCAAATTGTTCGGAATACTCTCGAAAACGGCGTCGGGTAATCCAGAAGAGGACTACTAGTATTAGCTTAAACCTTAGTCTTGTCGGCGCCGGTCTTCGTGCAGTCTCCGGCGACAGTTGGCGTTGTTAGACGAAAGCAAATTCCAACATTGAACTAGTGAATCCACCCCTCTCCAATCGACGTGCGATCCCCTTAATCCACCTCCTTTGGAGCCCAACGTCCTCACTGACATATCGCTTGATATCCACCCCCTTCGGACTTCAGCTTCCTTGCTGGCACATTGGTCTGATACTATTTGTAACAGCTCAAGCCCACCGCTAGTAGGTATTGTCTTCTTTAAGTTTTTCCAACGTCTCTCCATAATGGTATGATATTGTCTACTTTGAGCCTAAGCTCTCGTGGTTTTCCCAAAACGCCTCATATCAATGAAAATAGTATTCCTTGATTATAATTAGCGAATGTGGGACTTTCATCCAACATTCCCTTTTAGGCTTATTCTCAAAGTTTTAAAACACGTCTTCTAGATAGAGGTTTTCACACCCTTATTAAAATATTTCGTTAATCTCTCCAATCGATGTGGGATCTCACATAGAAAGTTATTTCTCATTTGATGATAGTTCTAAATGAAAGTAACTCGGAATGTGTCACCTCAATACCTAAATCTGGTGAGGGAAGAAGTCCACGATGCTAATAAAATTGGCGATGAGCATGTAGCACATTCAACGAGTGCAACCTCGAGGGGAAGCCCTTGAAGGAAAAGCCCAAAGAGGACAATATCTATTAGCGATGAGTTTGGGCTGTTACAAATGATATTAGAGCTAGATATCAAGTTGTATGTCAGTGAGGACGTTGGCCCCCAAGGGGGTAGATTGTGAGATCCCACATCGGTTAGAGAGGAGAACGAAGTCATTCCTTATAGGGATATGGAAACTTCTCTCTAACAGACGTGTTTTAAAACCTCGAGGGGAATCCTTAAATGGAAAGCCCAAAGAGGATTTACAAATAGTATCAGAGTCAGACATCGGGTGGTATGCCAACGAGGACGCTGACCCCAAGAATGGACTTACAAATTCGATGTAGAATTTCTACGAAGGTTTTTATCTTTTTTCCACTCAATTATCTTACTTTTCTCTATATGTGTGACTATAACTTGTTCAGTTTAATTAGTGAAGTATAGTTTAGTTAAACCGGTATGTTTATGCCACTGATAACATCATAACACGCTATTATATTCGTTTTTCTAATTCGTTCGTGCAAGAATTTCTTAATTCTCACGTCGTAATTCATATTCGTTTTTCGTTTGTTAGATATAGAAGCTAGACATATAATACAATAGGCCAACGCTTAGATGTTTGGATTTAATTCATTAGTAATAACTTAATTTTGTATATATATATATATATATATATATATATTTGGTTATTTAAATCTTGATAATGGATTTGAATAATGAAAAATATGAATATTTGGAAATTCAAGGAAATAATTTATCATGGATTTCTTCATGTATTTTTAATATATATATATATATATATATATATATATATATATATATATGAATTTTTACTTTCAAACATATTATAAACAAAGTGTGGCGATTTCGAATAACTTATGAAAAAAATCTATTTTTTCAGAAAATAAATGTTTATATTTGAAAATCAATAATTTAAAGTGTGTTTTGTATAGCTTCTTAAAAATTATATATATGTATAAATATTAAAAAAATTTAATAAATAAAAAAAAAACTTAAAAAACTTGGATTAATTTTTTAATGGGATTCTTAAAAAAAGAACTTTTAAAATAATCTAAGTTATTTGAAGTCTTTTATTTATTTATTATAAGATAGAAAAAAAAAATATATCTTTAATCCTAAAAAATCATTAAAAAAAATTAGGAATATTTTCAAAATCATTTATAGAAATATGAATTTAGTTTATAAACTATATTCGACAAAATGAGCTTCTTTTCGAGCATTAATGTTAGTCAACCACCTCGAGCGACTTTCAACTTTTCTCTAGAGAACCTTTCTTTCTAATTAACTCGTGGAAAAATAGTATTATTTATTTATTTATTTATTATTATTATTATTGTAATAAATGGAGAAAAAAAATGGTTTTATTAATAACTTTATGAGAAGATAACACCATTTTTTCCTTTTATAAAGAGATGAACTTTGGAAAAAGAGCAACGCAAAGAAAGCAATAGAGATTAGAAGAAAAAAACATTACACATAGACTTGGGCTGGAAAGTTGCCTCTTTAGTGCTTTCTTTTTCAACCCTTCTTCTTAAAGTAGTAAATAAAATTTCATATATATATTTCAAACCCAACTTGAAAATCACTTTAATTCCAATAAATATATATATATTGGAAACCATGTTACTAGATAATCATCGAGCATATAAAAATAAAAGTTGATACACTGATTTTGAGACGCCCGAGTAAAAGAATAATACATGAATGAATCGAAACTACATTCAAATGAAAAAGATCATTTGGTCAGATTCTCGAGCCAAAGACATTAAAAATTTCAAATATTCTCGACATAGAAGAAATTTGATAATTTCATGAAGAAAAAAAAACTATTGTAAAAAATTTTTAGTAAGTAAATCAATTAAAGTTTAAAAAATTTAAATTAAAAAATAATTTATTATAATGAAAAAAGGTTATGATATGGAAATAAAATGTGATAAATATTCCTAAGATTCCACCACTTATGTAATGAATAATTAATTTATTTCTGGCATTACCTAAAAATCTATACCTTTATTTATTTCCACTTTGTAAACAGCTTTTTTGAGTCCCGTTTTGCCATATATAATTTTTTTTTAAATAAAAACCCATAAAGAAAAAAAAAATATGACTTTTCTAAAAATTTAAATATTTCCACGTGGAATTTGAGAGATTATGGCCTTAAAAAAAAATTTATCTTCCGACCTTAAATAATATTTTTGAGCCATAAATACGACTTAAAAAGAAGCAAAAGTCATTGATGTAAACTTGGGGCGTAAATAATCACGAAATTAGATTATTTACATCAGTTGGAGAGGAGAACGAAATATTTCTTATAAATGTGTGAAAACCACTCTCTAATAGACGTGTTTTAAAATCGTGAGGCTAACAACGATACGTATCGAGCCAAAGTAGACATTATTCACCTTCTCATCGAAATTTGAGTTTTATATCGATACATTTGTAGCTTAAAAGGAAAAAAATAAATAAATTTATGGCAATAAAATTGCATTAATTAAAAAAATTAAACTTATAAATACTAATTTTTCACCCAATTCAAAATTTAATAAATAAAAGATAAAATTTAACTAAAAATACAAGAAATAAACATAAATTTAAAAAGGAAATTGTGTTTTATTTATTTATTTTAATTTATGCGTATCTGATTTTATTTTATTTTATTTTTTTTTGTAGGAAGCAGCTCACGAACAAAAGGTGGCAGTAACTGAATAACTGAATTAAGTAACGATTTATTTATTTATTTATTTATTTCCTTCTTTTTCTCTGTGAGGCTCCATTTTTTTTTCCCTTCCTCGTGAAGCTCTTCTAAATCCAACTCCAACCAACAGTCCATTTGCAGAGTCCTCTGGTTTCTTACTCCTTCCTTCTCGATTCCATCTTTATCAAAAACATTCCGATTCAAGGATTCGAACCAATCAGAGATCGAATCAGCAAAAAGAGGGAAAAAAAAAAGAAGAACAATGTCGGAATCTGTGTTACGATTCCACAGAAATTGTATATTCAGAGCTTTGATTTTGTTGTTGTTGACGGTTGTTCCAAATGGATTGGGTGTTGGAGTGAACTGGGGAACTATGGCTACTCACCAGCTCCCTCCAGAGAAAGTTGTTAAAATGCTTCAAGAAAATGGGTTTCGTAAGTTGAAGCTTTTTGAAGCTGAGGATCGGATTTTGGAAGCCCTAATTGGGACTGATATTGAGGTTATGTTGGCTATTCCGAATTCAATGTTGCAGGTTATGAGTGAAGATCCTGAGGCTGCTGCTCTTTGGGTGGATTCTAATGTTACTGCTTACACTTATCATGGTGGTGTCAAAATCAAGTTGAGTATTGATTTACTTTGGTTTTTGTTCTTTTCACTTTTTGTGCACTTAAGGTGTTCGATGAAATTCCCACTTCATGGTTTCTCTGTTTTGAATGTGTTCTTTTCAAGCCTGGCTTTGAAACTTAACATGAAATCTTTAGAAAGGGCTTGGATTAGCAAAAATAAGTTTAGCTCATCTTTTGTTTTAGCTGGTTTGATCGATCACTTCGTGGGGAAGGATTTTTGATCATTTGGTCATTGGTTTTTTTTATTTATTTTTTATTTTTTTATTATTATGAGGAATTGACGTTAGATTTCAAAACTAAGGAAAGTAACCAAATGATTGTCATTCATTGGACCATTCTTGGGTGCGGCATATGTAACAGCTCACTGCTAGCAGATATTGTCCTCTTTGTATTTTAACTTTCAGACTTTCAGACTTCCCTCAAGCTCATTTCTAACAAATATGGTACTATTTGAGCTTTCCCTCCCTTTCAGGCTTCCCCTAGTAGATATTGTCCCCCGAGTAGATATTGTTCTCTTTAAGCTTTCTCTTCTTTGTATTTTACCTTTCAAACTTCCCTCAAACTCATTTCTAACAGATATTGTACTATTTGAGCTTGTCCTCCCTTTCAGGCTTCCCCTAGATGATATTGTCCTCTTTAGACTTTTCCTTCTTTGTATTCTTTGTATTTTACCTTTCAAACTTCCCTCAAGCTCATTTCTAACCGATATTGTACTATTTGAGCTTTCCCTCCCTTTCAGGCTTCCCCCAGTAGATATTGTCCTTTTTAGGCTTTCTCTTTTGGGTTTTCTCTCAAGGTTTTTAAAACGCGCATACGAGGGAGAGGTTTACACATCGTTATAGAGAATGTTCTATTACCCTCTCCAACCGATGTGGGATCTCACAATAATCCACCCCCTTCAGGGCCCAGCATCCTCGCTGACACTTGTTCCCCTCTCAAATCGATGTGGGATCTCATAATCCACCCATTTTCGGGGCTCAGCGTCCTTGCTGGCACACCGCTCTGTGTCTGGTTTTGATACTATTTGTTACCGCCTAAGTCCACTGCTAGTAGACATTGTTCTCTTTAGATTCTCCCTTTCGGGCTTTCTCTCAAAGTTTTTAAAACACATCCTGCTAGGGAGAGGTTTCCACACTCCTATAAAGAATGTTTTGTTCTCCTCTCCAACCGATGTGGGATCTCACAATAATCCACCCCCTTTGAGGCCTAGCGTCCTTTCTACACCGTTATAAAGCATGTTTCGTTCCCCTCTCCAACCGATGTGGGATCTCACAATTATCCACCCCCTTTGGGGCCTAACGTTCTTTCCACACCCTTATAAAGAATATTTCGTTTTCTCTCCAACCGACGTGGAAACTCACAATAATCCACCCCCTTCGGGGCCCAGCATCCTCACTAACACTCTTTCCTCTCTTCAATCGATGTGGGATCTCATAATAACCTCTCTACCAAAAGAATTGAAATTTGTTAATGCATTTTTAGAAGTTCAAGAACAAGATTTTTCGAATGTTAAGTTAGCTTAACAAGCATATTGGTTCTTTCTGTCTCCTATAAACTTCCATTGCAAACTGATTTTGCAGGTATGTTGCTGTAGGCAATGAGCCCTTTCTTAAGTCCTACAACGGCATCTATCTTCAGTCAACCTTACCTGCCCTGAGGAATATCCAGCAAGCCTTAAACGATGCAGGACTTGGATCAAAGGTCAAAGCTACTATTCCTTTCAATGCTGATACTTACAACTCCCCGGACTCAAACCCGGTTCCATCTGCAGGCGACTTTCGGCCAGACGTCCGAGACTTAACAATCGAGATCCTACACTTCCTATCCATAAACAATGCACCATTCACTGTCAACATCTACCCCTTCCTCTCCCTATATGGCAATGACTACTTCCCCATCGACTTTGCCTTCTTTGATGGAACATACAAGTCCATCAAAGACGGAGATCTAACATACACAAACGTGTTCGATGCAAATTTCGACACTCTCGTTTCGGCCCTAACAAAAGCAGGATACCCCAACATGAAAATCATAGTAGGAGAAGTCGGTTGGCCAACCGACGGCGACAAACACGCCAATATCCAAAACGCAAAACAGTTCAACCAGGGATTGCTGAGACATGCTCTAAGTGGGGAGGGAACCCCAGCAAGGGTAGGCATAATTGACATCTATCTCTTCAGCTTAATCGATGAAAATGCCAAGAGCATAGAGCCAGGGAGCTTTGAAAGGCATTGGGGAATATTCGAGTTTGATGGTAAGCCAAAATATGAGCTAGATCTGTCTGGTATAGAGGCACAAAAGGGGTTGATAGCAGTAGAAGGAGTGAGATATATGGTTAAAAGATGGTGTGTTTTGAACCCAAATGTGAAGGATTGGGAAGGCTTGGCTTATAGTGTTGATTATGCTTGTAGCCTATCAGATTGCACTGCTTTGGAGTATGGATCTTCTTGCAATCAGCTAAGTGCAGAAGGGAATGCCTCTTATGCGTTTAATATGTACTATCAAATGAACAGCCAGAAGAGCTGGAACTGTGATTTTTCTGGTATGGCTGTGGTGACTCAAGAGGATCCTTCTTATGGCAGCTGCCAGTTCCCTGTTATGATTGATTATACCTTTTCTTCTTCTTGTTCTTCTTGTTCTTCATTTCTGGATCTTCTGGTTGCAGGTTTCATGGGCTTTTTGGTGTTTTTGTTTCTGGAATGATTCATAATGGATTTGAGAATGATTTTTGTGAATTTGGGAAAGAGAAGTATAAGTTAAGATTGAAGCTGTTCATCATGTTTTTTTTTTTCTTTTTTCAGTACATTTTAGATTTATGACCGGATGAAATCTGCGTGGGATGCTCGTGAAAATTTGTTTCTATACATGAGCCTTCTATGTCTACATAGATATAACATAATTCATGATGTGTTTCTCGTTTAAACTGGAATTTTTCGTTTAAACAGTGAATGAAGAGGAAGTGGGAGATATTCCTGTCTCGCTTCACATATTATTACATTTTTACTTATGAAATATTATTTGATTTAGTTTTAAATAATATATATGGTATGTTTTGACTCGTATGACCCGTCATGGTTTTCCACACTATTATAAGTGTTTTTTTACCTTTTTTTTAGTTTAAAATGTATTTTTTAGATTTTTTTTTTTTTTTTTAAGTTTAAAGGTATTATTGAAACTTTTGAAAGTTAACATTTTATTTATTTATAAATTTTATTTGAGCCTAAGAAGCTTCTAGTTCTGCCCGTCAAACACTCTCGGATAAGCTGTATAAAACCGTCAAATTGGTTTGCTTTCAATGCAAATAATAATAATAAATAAATAAATAAAAATAAAAGGTTCACCTCAAATTTCACCTTCATAATATATGGTCTGAAACTTAGATATGGCCAATAATATTTATGGTGCCGAATTGTTAGATTTATAAAATATAATGGATTTATTGCGTATAGCATAATTAATTAATACAAAACCCGATTATTTTTTTAAATATTTTATTTTATATTTTCAATGTTCCATTAATAATAAATAATAAATTAATTAATTAGTTTTAAAAAGCAATCTTCAATTTTAATTTTCTAGTATAAAATGCTTAGTTCACTTTAACATTTTAAAAAATATTTTTATTTTTTTTAAATAATTTCATTCCCTAATTTAATTTATGAAATATTTTATTATTCTTAATCGATTTTCAACGAATAAAATGTTAATTAAAAAAAAACTTAAAAATTATTTCTAAGTTTTGTTTTTTTGTAAATAAAAAATAAAATGGATTAAATGGAAAAGTTGAAGACCTTAGTTATTAAATTTTTGTGCCGAGTAAAATACGACTATTTTCGACCAACGTAACTTCATTAACCGCTCTTGAATTAAAAAAAAAAAATCATAATTAACGCATCTACGTCACACCAAATTATTTAGCTTGAGTAGTCATGAGTTTTTAATGGGTCTAAAGGAAAAAATTGATACCTAAACCTAAAATATGTATGCTATCTACATCACACCAACCAAATTAATGTTATGACGTAGATATTTAATATTTCATGTGGGAAGAAAATAAAATATTTTAATTTGCTAAATCCATTTTGATTTAAGTTTATGTCAATACGTGATGTCCCACATCGATTTGAGAGGGGAACGAAACATTGTTTACAAAGGTGTGGAAACCTCTCCCTAGTAGACGCGTTTTAAAATCGTGAGACTGATGGTGATAAGTAACATGTCAAAGCAAACTTAGACACCGGGTGATGTGTTAGTGAGAATAATGGACTCCTAATGGGGTGGATTGTGAGATCTCACATTGATTGGAGATAGAAACGGAGCATTTCTTATAAAGGTGTGGAAATCTCTCCCTAATAGACGAGTTTTAAAACCGTGAGTCTATCGACGATACAGGCTTAAGCGGACAATTACTGCTACACAATTGTCCGTTTTTTACCATTATACAATTACTACTAAACAATGTTCATGTTGCCTCGTACATGTGGTACCCGAATAAAGGAAGGGTATAGGACTGTGACATGTATACGTCATTCGATAGATATTTATAAATTTAATTTTAAAAAATAAAAAACTAGACGGGTAGAGGATGAGGTTTTAATTATTTAAATTGTAAATAATATTTCAATAAGTAATGTACTATATTTTTCCATGCATTAAAATTCTACTATAGTTAGGCTATTGTCACTTCAAATATATAGCTCACGGTTAATGCTATATTTAATATGTTTAGTGGAAATTTATTAGTTTAAGAGATATATCAAAAGTAACTCTGTAAATTTATCCATAGTAACAAATATAATTTCATATAAATTAATATAGATTATATTTATATTAATTTAAGCATAATTTAACTAAATAGCTAAATTAATAAAAATAAAATTTTCAAAATTTTTAATAATATTTTTAATTTTTTTTTTAAAAAAAGTTTAAAATGCTCTTAATTTGAAAAATGAAAGTAAATTATTAAATTTTAAGATTTTGATGTATTTAAGTAAAATCATTAAATTTTAAGATTTTGATTGTTATTTACTTTAATATCTGATTTTTTTTTTAATTTAATTATAACCAAATACCTTTTTTGTCCTTCAACTTTCATAAAATTATAAGATTTTTATAGGTAATAATTAAATTAATATAAATTTTGAAATAAAAGAATTATATTACTCCATGCCAAAGTTTTTGGATTAAACTATTTTAATTAAAAAATACAAAACTAAATTATTATAAATAGAGATGTCCACATGTCAAGATAGAGATCGGAAAGCGTTCCCCGTCCCCGTCTCCGTCCCCGTCCCCACCTCTTATTTCAATATTTATCATTGCAAAAATTTTCATTTATTTTGTACGATGGTCGCAGAGATTCCATTTGTAAGGATCGAGTTCCAAGCAAATAAATAAATAAACATTCTCATATATATATTTTGATAATTCTCCTTATATATATTTATATAGGAAGTGAGAAAGACAAGATATCATTTACCTTCCCAATTTCATTGAATTAACCAGGAGATTTCATTGAGTATTAGGCATCTCTAATTAAAAATTAAAATTAATTTTTTTTATAATTTTATTTGAATTTTCTAGGGTATATATATATATATATATAAAATAAAATGTCAACACAAAATTAATATTGTAATAATAATAATAATAATAATAATAATAATAAAATGAAATTGAAGTCTCCAACGATAAATGCGCAATAATAAAGGATGGTGGTGGATACTAGTGAGAAGGTTGTAAGAGAAGGACGAGAAGGGCAAAATGGTAAATAATGGAAAAGAGGTGGCTGAATTTGGAAATTTGAAAGAAAAGGCGGGACCGGGACAGGTGGTTCCTATATATTTCGAGCAGCGACTGGGATCTCTCATTCGTTTCCGCATTGTTCTTCCTTGTCTCTCTTGTATTGTAATCGAATATCGAGGGGAAAAGATCGCAAACCCTAAAAATCGACGAGGAACAAGGGTTTATTGATCTGTAATGACGTTGTAGTCATTTTGCTGCACTTTTCTATTGCTGTGGATTTGGATTCTTCCGTCATCGTTACGAATCCTGTTCGTTCCAGCATTTTCTTGTCTGTTCAAGGTATGCATTCGTTGTTGTATTCTCTTTTGAGATTGACGTTTTATGTTGTTGCGGGAGGAAAGTTTGGTTTGAATCAGAGAATGTGAGGGATGTAGTGTTCATTTTGTTTGGAGAATTGGAACTTGATATATTCTGGAATTATGATGTTGTCCTGGGACTTTTGGTTTTTGAGTTGAACTTATTCCATTTGTCTACTAATTTTTGGTTGTGTCTTTTCATTATATTGCGGAATAACTTCACATTCGTCGTTCTGGAAACTGTTTTCTTGCTGTCGACGTGTTTATGCGTAGTTTCGCATTTCTCGGTTATAAGTACATTCATCAGTCGCTCTACGAGTAGATATATAGTTTCACTATTCTGTCACTTCGGAATGATTTTTGCTTGCTGCTGGCCGTTTATTGGAGCCGTCCAATCACAAGGACCTTTAATTATTCGGTCAAGAATTTTGCTACATTTCAATCGTTAATTATGCTTTCCATTTCTTCAATTCCTATCTGATTAGGTGCTAGTTTCACTTGATATGCACTATGTCTTAAAGAATTTGTTATTTGCTTCCCGTTGTTCTTAATCTTTCACTGATTAGCTGCAAATCTTTCGTTCAAGCTTTTTATTGATATACTGAAGTGTTTGATTTTGTTTTTTGAAGTTCATCATGGTAGCAACTGCTGCTACATCCGCGTTTTATCCTATTTCTTCTTTGTCTTCGTCTTCCGACCCTAAAATAAAGAACACCAAAATTGGAGGTCGCACTGGGAATTTGGGGGGGTTCAAGTCTAAATCTGTGTCTTCTGGAAGTCTTCAGGTGAAGACTAATGCCCAAGCTCCTTCCAAAGTAAATGGAAGCTCAACTGGCTTCAAGGCTGGGGATGACTTCATATCATCTCACCCACGAACTTTTATTAATCAGCTGCCTGACTGGAGCATGCTACTTGCTGCTATTACTACTATCTTTTTAGCAGCTGAGAAGCAATGGATGATGCTCGACTGGAAACCTAGACGGCCGGACATGCTTATAGATTCGTTTGGTTTGGGAAGGATCGTTCAGGACGGTTTTGTGTATACCCAGAATTTCTCTATTAGATCCTACGAAATTGGTGCTGATCGTACAGCTTCTATAGAGACTTTAATGAATCATTTACAGGTACAATTAGATTGTTGCGTTCTTGTGTTTTTATGAATAGCTGTTAGCTGTAGTTCTATGTATGCTTATGAAATGGAGATAAGTTATTCCAGTCGATGAAATTGTGTGCAGGAAACTGCCCTTAATCATGTTAAGACTGTTGGGCTACTTGGAGATGGATTTGGTTGTACGCCAGAAATGTGCAAAAAGAACCTGATATGGGTAGTTACCAAGATGCTGATTATGGTAGACCGTTACCCTACTTGGTAAATTTAAGTTCTTCCATATGATGTATACGCTTCTAAAGATGGATTCAATATGTCTCTAATGATTTTACTTGGGTGCACGATAACACAATTGAGTTAAATTCAATAGTTTACGTTGTTTGTTTTATCCCCTTAAGTAACATTTCTAGTATGGCACTATTCCGGTCAACTATGTAACCTATTCATCTCTCTTTCACCCTCCAAAAATAAGTGATAAAAAAAAGCATTGAACTTTTCACAGTCTAACAAGTCACTGAAATGGCCTTCTGCCTTGGATGACTTTTGCTTTCATCTTTCATACAGGGGTGATACTGTTCAAATAGACACTTGGGTCAGTGCTTCTGGAAAGAATGGCATGCGCCGTGATTGGCTCGTGTATGATTGCAAAACTGGAGACAATTTAACAAGAGCCTCCAGGTTGGTTACTTAACCCCTTTCTGGTGAAAATGTGGTATCATCTTTCATCATGCCTGTTGTGAATTTTTTTTCTCAACCCATGAATTATAAAATTAACCAGCTGCGATTGAACCCATGATTGAGGAATTCAGGTTATAGGTTATGAAGGTTCTTGAATAGCTTGTGAATTTCTTCTGTGTGTTTCATAAAGAATAGAAACAAATTTCGGTAAACTACATAGACCTTTTTTCAATCTTCATTCTAATTGATCTTTGCATTGAGATTGTGGATTATGGTTGCAATCAATTTTCTACTATCAAGCCATTTTACATCTAGTGACCATAATTTACTGATATTGTCTTGTAATTTGCAATGTGAAGTACCTGGGTTATGATGAATAAACAGACGAGAAAGTTATCAAAGATTCCTGAGGAAGTGAGGAGAGAAATAGAGCCTAACTTTATGAATACTGCTCCTGTTATTGAAGACGTAGGCAGGAGACTTTCAAAAATCGATGACGATACAGCTGATTACGTTCGAATGGGTTTGACTGTAAGTTGTTTCTTTTAACTTACCGGATCTTTCTGTGTGTTTCATTGTTACTGTTAAAATTTGGTTCAATAATGTCGACATTTCCATACTACTGCAGCCTAAGTGGAGTGATTTAGATGTCAACCAGCATGTTAATAATGTGAAGTACATTGGGTGGATTCTGGAGGTACATAAAACTAACCTTTCCATTCCTTCTCATCTATTACTAGTGTTATCTTTTCCACTACATTTCTCCATAACTATTCTTCTAAAGCTTGGTTATATCTCTCTTTGATTGTTAAATTATACTGGTTGTCAACAGAGCGCCCCGCCACCGATATTAGAGAGTCATGAACTTTCGTCCATCACGTTGGAGTACCGGAGGGAATGTGGGAGGGACAGTGTGTTGCAGTCCCTCACTGCTGCCACTGGTACGGACAGTGCGACTTCGTCAGCTGCTGGTGTCGTTGACTACAATCACTTGCTTCGGTTCGATGATGGGACCGAGGTTGTGAGAGGAAGAACACAGTGGCGACCCAAATTTGGCAACAAATTTACCATCCTAGACCATATTTCAGCCGACCATGGAATTTAAGCTTCCTCGCTAGACCTCTCAACAGAGCACAATCCATGGTTTGTGCAAAATTCTGCTTTTAATCCTTACATATATATATGTTTTTCTCATTCCTCTCTAATAAATACACACACGCACACACACAACACAAAAAGGGGGAAAAAGGTTGATTTAGTTGTGTAATTAACCCTAATGTATTAATTTTCCCACTTGTCACCAGAAGGCTACTTTATATGATGTGGGTGTTGCTCAGCCTGGTCGGTTGCTATACAATCAATGTATACCTACTGCCTGCTGACTGTCTCAGAGCAGGTTGGAAAATATATATTAGTGTTGAAAATTGATTAGATTTCTTTTTTTAACTTTCAGGGGATGGGATCAGGTCGCGTTCGGGTTCGGGTTCGGGTTCTTCTTGGAGAATTTTTCGTTTCTACTGGAATTAATGAGATGAGTCTTAAGATATATAAATATTTTGACTTACTGTTTAATTTTTAAATTTAATGTAATTATTGAAATCTTATACTTTTAACATTAGCCACCGTTATATTTCTTAAATTTTTATTACAATATATATTGACGTATATCGTATGTCATTAGTGAACTATAAAAGAAAAATGAGACAACAATTAGTTTGAATCAATTTGAGTTTTGGGGCCGTGATGACCAACTTTATTAAAAAAAACCAATTGTTTTTATTTTTAATTTATTATTTAAATGTTTTATTTTGTATGAGCTTTTCCGTCCCCATTGATCCAGTTCTTGCGTTTGTGGGAATGGGTAGGGAGTCCTTATCAATTAAAAGGGAAAAAGAAAAAGGGTTGATTTGTGTAAATTCAACATAACTTTGTAAAAGCAATTTGGTCAAATTAAGACATTAATAATTGGCCTAAATTCAATGGAATCCTAGGCTTTATTCTACCTTAATATATTTTTTAAATAACTTTTGGGCATATTAAACTTATGTTTTAATTTTTTCCTAAATTAAATTATACTATTTTTTTAATTATTTTTTAACGTTGAAATTTGTTCAAAAAGTATATTTGGAGGTTTAAGTTTGAATGGAAGATTGGGAGACGTATGTGACCTTTAATTATCATTAAAAAAATTAGTTTAAATGGCTAATCAATCCTTAATCCTTAATATTTGAATATTATAATTAACAAGTCTATAAATGTTTTAAAAAATATTTAATTTTTTAAATTTTAATAAACATGTCCGAATATTTTCTTTTCTATAGTGATTGCATACTTAAATTAATCACGTCACAAGAGAGAACTCAAGGCATGAGCGATCGACCTACCTCATTTTCACATTGGTTTACCCACTTCTGATACCTCATAGAGGAAATAGTCACATTTTTCAAATACAAAATTTTGTTCTTTACATTGGCCTCTTCATTTTGATGGGTAGGTGTTTGGAAATAAAACAAAGATGAGGGACCCAAATGAAAATAAAGGGGAAATGGGGGGGCACCATGTCAATAAAACAAATAGAATATGATCATTCACTCTTTGTTTGTTTGGGTATGTTCCTTGGAAGTTTCCCTTTGTCATTTCACACCATATTTCTCCTCTCTTTTAGTTTCGATCGAATCACCTGATTTATCATTTACACATGTTGGATACTACTTTGTTTTGTTCGATGATAATTTAAGATAATACTTTCTTAGAGTTAAGAACGAGGTTCAAACTGTCGAAGATATTTACGGTTGTGGATATATACAATCGCAACGAAAAAATAAGCAAAGGAGATGATTAACAGTAGATTAGAGTGTTTGTCGGTTGAGTTGCGTCAGTCGTAACATTTTTTAGACTCAACCATAATTTTTTTTTGTTGGGTTAGTTCAAGTTGTTCGAGTCATTTATTCAAATTTTTATTTTTAACAAAAATAAAATATTACTTCATCAAACAATATTAAAATTATTTATAATAAAAAAATATTTATGAAATTAAATAAAAATAAAATAAAAATATTTATATATAATTGTAGAGAACAAAAAAATATATATTTTAAAATTAACCATAAATTTAAATTGATTTAATGGTAAGCCATCTAATTTGAATTAACTCAATCTATAAAAAATTCATTTATTTCAAGATCATCGAGTTTTTTGGACACCCGTAAAAAAAATGTGGCAACTTTTTCAAAAATTGTTGAACCTATGGATAGATAAAAGATGACGTGACAGACTAAAACATCTCGACAAAACGACTCTATTAAAATTACTCGTTTCTTTATCATCACATTGACATAATCAACGTTCCGATTCATTCACATAAGCTAACATTCAAAGAACCGAGCTCTTAATTTGTATAAACGGATATAAATAATCGAAGAAAAATAACATTTACTTAATTATTTTAGTTAGGCGCTACCAACCTTTGGTTGAGATTCTTCACCTAGAGGGTTGGTTTTCTATTATTCATATATAATTAATTAGACATAAACTCCAACCATTATATATTAATAACGAAATGTTTTTGGTAGAGATTTGAGCTATTTTAGTAAAATAGTAATTAATTGACTTTTATGTCTTTTTTTTTTATATTTAATATTTAATAGCATATATTATTATATAATTTTCTCACATAATTTTCCTTATAAATATATATTTATTAGCCGACATTATCGATACTAATTGAGATTCAAATCTATGACCTTTTTCATAGGTTTGTAATTTAATATATATAATGAAATATTTTAAAAAAATATTAAAGCATAAGTGAGAGAGGTTTAAATCTATTTATTTATAATAAAAGACACTAATATATAAAAAGTGTTTCGTTCTCTTCTCCAACCAATGTAAGATCGCACGGATAAAGCTCGGGATAAGTTAAAGATTTAGTCATAAATTTTAAATTGTGTATATATTTGGTTCTTCGACTTTAAAAAATATTTAATATGATTTAAAATTTTTAATCGGTATCTATAAAGTTATTAATCTAAAATAAAAAATTAATGATTTTTAAAATAATTTTTCAAACATCTTTTAAAATTAAAAAAAAAAATTAAAACATTATATATTAAAAATAATATCTAACATGCTGAATTTTACTTTTCAAATATGTTTGTATTAATTTCATGGCTATATTTTCTAAACAAATTAATTTTATCTCTATACTTTAATTATTTAATCTATATGTTATTTTTTTTTTTACAATGTTAAAATAAATATTGAAATAAGAAAAATTTACCCTCGAACAAAATAAAATTTTAATTTTAATAAAAAAGAAAGTTGATATTAAAAGAAAACGATGCTAGACGCACGCCCGACATTATTTTAACCTTTCTAGTAATACATTACCCAAATGATTTTTTTACCATTTTTTGCTCGAACTTCTGACTTTAACGGTCGAGAAATAAAAAAAAATTATTTAAAAAAAAAATTGGGTAAAGAGAGAACAATAACAAAGCTACTTTAGAATTAAGATTTGACTTTCAAATAACCTTTGTTGGGTTTTAACCATGCTTGTAATTATAACTTATCATGTATTAGTAACCCTGGTTTCTTTTAAATCTTGAGTTAGATTGTGAGATCCCACATCGGTTGGCGAGGGGAACGAAACATTCCTTATAACGGTGTAGAAACCTCTCATTAGTAGACAATGTTTTAAAACGGGGAGACTAACGACAATACGTAACGGGCAAAAACAGACAATATCTGTTAACGGTGGGCTTGACTTGTTACAAATGGTATCAGAGCAATGTGCCAGCGACGATGCTGGTCTCCAAAGGGTGGATTGAGAAATCTCATATTGATTGGAGAGAAGAACGAAACATTTTTTTTATAAGATTGTAGAAACCTCTCCCTAGTAGAAGCGTTTAAAAACGGTGTTGGTAGAGTTGTGTTGTAACTCTCTTTTTAGGTTGATCGAGTTGACCCAACCAAAAAAAAAAAAAAAGGTTAACTCTAGAACCCGCTCAAATTTTTTATTTTTTAAAAATTCAACCCAACAAAAAATAAATAAAAAATAAAAAAACTCTCCATTAATCCAAATATTTTAAATTTAGAAGAACTCTCCATTAATCCATACAAACAAAGAGGACAAAAAAAATAGTAATAATAATAATCCAACAATTATTTTTAATTATTATTTTAAAATAATTAAACTAGCTTTTATATCAATGGAGGAAAATTCCCATTAGATCTAAATTAATACAACTCAACCAACACAGTCCCAGAATATTCTGACTTCAATTTTTCATAGAGTGGGACCATTTGGTTCTTTTTTATTTTATTTTATTTTATTTATTATTATTATTTATAACTTTATATAATTTTAATTTTAGTTTAAAAAATAATTATATTTTTTTAGAAAGGAAAACAAAATATTTTAGACGTGTTTTAAAATCATAAAGTTGATGACAATATCTACTCATAATGAGTTTGAACGGTTACAAATGGTACTATAGGACGCTGATCCCCAAAATCTTAACGAAGAACATTACGAGATTATATTTAACCGAATAAATCTATCTTGGATTTATATTATTATTTAAGGGTAATTTTAAAAAGAATTTATAATGAAGGGTAATTTTGTATTGTAATTTTTAGAAGAGGATAATTATTTTAAAAATAAATTCCAAATTATATAACTTATTATTATTATTTTATAATTTAGGATTTATTTTTCTCAAATTTTTGGTAGTGGTTACCGGCGAACTGGGACGGCCATTTTTTCTTTTTTGGAGGTGGGGAAAGGGCACAAAATGCCATACAAGTTATTCTCTTGATTCGAGGAGCTCAGTTTTTGCGTCCATTTTCATGGAGCTTCATTTCCAGATATCAGATTCAGATCGAAACCTACCGTCACAAGTTTCTTCTGGATTCACATCCATGGCGGACTCTGATCTTCTCAACAACTTCACGGATTCTCACTCAATAGCAACCTTTTCCTTTTTCTTTCCAGGTTTCTGAAGTTCAACTTCACTTTCTTTCTCTCCCGGTCTTCTTCCTCGCATTCTCATCTTCGGGAGCTCAGTTCATATTCCAGGTCTCTTTCTCTCTGAATTTGTACTCTTGTTTGATTGCTGAAGTTCGTTCGATTGGTGTGCTTTTTTCTTTTTTTTGTTGGAAATTGTAATTGGAAGCTTGTTATTTGCTTGTTTATGAAGACGATCGCAGATGTTGCTTGTGCTCTATGGTTGTTAAGTGTATCGACTTTGTTCTTCGGCTTCTATTTTGCTAAGTTTGGAAATTTTCTTCCACCAGATCTGTGATTCAGTCTGCCTTTTGATTGCTATTTCTGGCTTTGGACTTGTTTTGTGGCTTCGAATCTGGATTTTCCGATGCAATATGCTTGGATTTTATGAAAAGAGACGTTTCTTCTTTTTGGAGGTTTTGGGGCAAATGCCTCTCGATCTTAACTTGGAGAATGGCTTCTGTTGTCTCTGTAACACTTTTTTGCTCGTCTTTTTCGTGAATTCTTCTAGAACTTTCTTTGTTAATTCATGAATCTGCCTTTCCCAGAAGCTTCAGAATACTTATCTTGCTTTCGCACCTACACAAGTTTGCTAAACTGAGATTCAACTCACAAGGATTTTCGATACAAGTTCTTGTACATAATGCCTTTGGAGCGTGAAACTATTCCCTTAATACTATTTTTAATAGCTAAGGTTCAAAGTTATCTGGGTCCTCTTATCTTATTTTAATTCTGGTGTTCATAGTTTTAAGCTTCAATTTGTTGATGCCGGGTTCATAATTATGGTTTAAAGAGATATATCTGAGTTCCTTGAATGCTGCATGCTGCATGCTGAATAGTCGTTTCTAAAGAAATGCAGATACATCAGAAAGTTTGCTGAAGAGAAGTTTCCATTGTCTTGTGGATGCTAGGATAGATTTTTAGGCAAGAGCTCTTTCACATACCATGTTCTGAATTTATACAGGCACCTTGATTCTAAGTGCTCATCATCCAGATCGTGAAGCATCTCGCCATGCTCAAGCAAATATTGAGCAAACTTCCTCGGAAGTTGCAGAAGTCGGAGACCGTGGATTCTGTAACAAATGATTCTGGCAATAATTCTTCTCGTCTTGGACATGTATTCCAGTGTACAAATGTCGGGAGTGCTTTCTCGAGTAAATTAAATGTCGTCAAACGTGTTTCTTCAGCAGTTTTCCCTGCAAGCATTGCAGCAGAAGCAGTGGATCCTCATCTGTCATTCAAAGATGTTCCAAATCCACAGAAGCAAAACCTGTTTGTCAGTAAATTGAACTATTGCTGTGAGGTTTTCGATTTGAACGATATGGAGAAGCAGGATCTTAAACGTCAAATGTTGATAGACATTGTCGATTTTGTTACCTCTGGATCTGCAAAGTTCAACGAGACAGCAATTTCAGCAGTGTGTAAGTTATGTGCTGCTAATCTTTTTCGCGTATTCCCGCCGAAATCTCGCTCAACTTCGTCTGGTGGAGAAACGGAGGATGAAGAACCAATATTTGACCCAGCTTGGTCGCATATGCAAAATGTATATGATCTACTGGTTCAGTTTGTCAGTAACAATTCTCTAGATGCAAAAGTGGCCAAAAAATATCTCGATCATTCGTTTATCTCGAGATTACTAGATCTCTTCGATTCTGATGATCCAAGAGAAAGAGATTGCTTGAAAACAATCCTTCACCGTGTCTATGGGAAGTTCATGATACACAGGCTTTTCATCAGGAAGGCTATTAGCAACGTCATATATCGTTTTGTTTTCGAGACAGAGCGGCATAACGGAATTGCAGAGCTGTTGGAGATCTTTGGTAGCGTGATTACCGGGTTTGCATTGCCATTGAAGGAGGAACACATGACATTTTTATGGAGGGTGCTCATTCCTCTTCACAAACCAAAATCAGTCGGAATTTATCATCAACAATTAACGTATTGTATTGTACAGTTCATAGACAAGGATCCCAAGTTGGCCAGTACAGTTATAAGGGGACTCTTGAGATATTGGCCTTTAACAAATAGCCAGAAAGAGCTGATGTTTTTAAGTGAAACAGAAGAGATTCTGGAAATGATCAGCATGGTCGAGTTCCAGAAGGTCATGGTCTCTCTCTTTCGGCGAATCGGATATTGCTTGAATAGCTCTCATTACCAGGTAGCTATCTTTGTTACTTGCTTCCTGGTTTCCAAGGGTCTGATTTAGATTGCTGTTTTCTTCTTTGTATTTCTCATATGTTATAGTGTATGCATATTTCACAAGCATTGAAGAGCTTCAAATGGATTAATTCCTTGATAAATATGAAGAATTAGGAGCTTTTCGATCTTTTAGTTGAGTTTTGGCTGGTACATTTGTTTATTTTTCCAATTCTTTTAGGTGGCAGAGAAAGCTCACTTGCTTTGGAACAATGAACACATCATCAATCTTGTCGCACACAACCGACAAGCGATCATTCCGATTATTATCCCAGCACTCGAACGAAATACACAAAAGCATTGGAGCAACGCAGTACTAAATCTAACTTTAAATGTGAAGAAGTTGGTTCTTGAGATGGACGAGGAGCTTGTGCTTGCTTGTGAGCTTGACTCGAAGGAGGAACAGTCAAGGTCGATTGCAGCATCAGAGAAGAGGAGATTGACATGGGAGCGACTCGAGAATGCTGCAACTCCACAGCCTGTATCTACTAACATTTCGTTTCTGGTAGAACCAGCAACATGTGCAGTTGCTGGCTAGTCACTTGAATTGGAAGATCAACTCAACAAAACGACGGTAGTTTCACTCGCAGTATCCCGGGATCTAGTTCTTTAATTCAACCGAGTTTTCGGTTCCATGCTGAGATGCAACGAACAAGTTATGGATGATCTGATCAGGTCCTGCTGAAACTATCTGTACAGGTGTGTGGGTAAAAGCAGCCTCTCTGGTTGCCATAGATTTGACGAAATCTGTATCCTTTATCAAACAGTGTGTTTCTTCACTGTTTTTCATATCTCATTCATGATGGGATTTCGTGCTTTTGAGTTCCATTGGTAGCATATTGAAGCCTTCAGCTTTGAGCTTGTTTGTTCTTCTGAAAATTCCATGTCTTTTTCTCTTATCTTCTGAGTTTAAATTGCAGAAACTGAGGTGAATCCCCGTTTCTAGTTAAAACGGGGACGGAGATGAGGAACGCTTTTCCGGTTCTTACCTCCAACCCATTTTCGATCTCGAAAATTATAGAATAAAATGTAATACTTTTCTATATATACATATTTATATTTGAGTTTATTTCAACTATTCTACCGGAGAGATTGAACCATCAACTTTTAAAATGTGGATTCGCTTAAATTTTTTTGAGATCTATGATGATCTAAGATCAGAACCGTCTTATAGAAATGAATGGCTCTGATTGTGAGAGAGAAAGGAAAGTTGGCTACTCTGTGCAACAGAGGATGATTCCAGGTGGGTAACAAAACCAGCCAAATTCTGACCTCTGCATTGGTCTAGACGACTGTAACTTTGGCTCTTTTTTTTACAAAGGACAATAGATTGTACAATAATTGTGTTCTTCTCGCCACCATTCGGCCGACAATATCATTTTCTTTCCTCACTCTCTCTCCTCATGGAATCGGAGTTTCAGTCGGTTTTTTTTTGTCTCGTCTCGCAATGATTTGACGTGGATTTTCTATTGAAATGTTAGCTCAGGCTTTGGGCGGCCCATCTAGTAGCAGCACTTATCACTGTTGGAAGCTTTGCGGTTCGGCTGCTTACTTCCCGTTTGCGTGTCTTGCACTCCTAAAGAGAAGCGAATTTTGGCTTTCGTCTTTCATGCATTTTTCTTTCTAAGATATAATATTTCTTGATAAATGATTGTATTTAGGTTAAATTATAAGTCTTCATGTCTATTTAGTTTCATGTATACATGCACATGATTACATGCCTATATACCTAACAGTTGAAAGTGTTAAAAAATATGAGTTGAGTCGAGTCCGAGCCGCATTGCACACTTTTTTTGGACTTTAGTGGTTTAGGGGCTTGTCTCCATTGAGAATATGGACCCAAACCCAACCGAACCACTTGAATCAAATACTGGACCGCTTCTCATACCTCACGTGAACCAGCCTCCACCCGAGCATTCTCCAAAATCTTCCTCTATTACCCCCAACGTTCCACAACAACAAAACTCTATAAAAAGGATGGATTCCATAAGCGTTACAACTTACGTAGTTGATTGCATCCACAACGATTGACTGACTTTATCTTATCATAATACAGTTGAGACATCTAATTCTTTGGATATCAGATTTAGTTAAAAAAGTAATATACCCATTTTTTTCTTTTTTAATAATTTCTCTTCCCTTTCATTTTAAATTTATTTTTTTTTTAATAATTTCTCTTCCATTTCATTTTAAATTTTATTAAATATTTTTAATCACACTACCATTGAATTTGCCATTAATATTCTCACCTACAAACCAAACATGGTTTGGCAAGAAATAATACAAAGACATGGTGGAATTTTGTGCATATCTCAAGGGTAGCCACCAATATAAGCTTTTCCTCACCCACTAATACCATCCCACCTCTCGAGTTTTGATCTTCACTAAAATTCTCTATTGGTTCTTACGAGATTGGAGCGGAGATTTTATAATCTCCGTTCTCGGCCCTATTCAACCAACAGAGGGAATATATGTTCACTCCCTTCCCATTCCCCGTTCAAATTGTATCATTTTTCACTATAAATCATCAATTTTCACCTCAAATTAAGTGTCGTAATTTTTCCCATCTAACACGTTCTTTGTCAGAAAGCTCGTTAAAAAAATATTTTTGAGTAAATATTCCCTACTTAACGTTACCTTTTACTCACTGTTAGCTCTAAGTTGACTCATTTTATTTTTACTTTTTATAACATTGGGTCACACCTCATAAAACTATAATACTAACATTTATTATACCTACCATTAATCTAATTTAACAACCATTTATTATTATTATTACTATTTATTAATTTCAACTTAACATTTATTGTATTGCACTCATTACAAAGCTTACACTCATTACATTGGTTCATCTAGCTATATCTCGAAGTGGTCGACCATTCGTCAACACCTAAGAATCTGCTTGACATCTTAGCGGTAGAATTGGATACTAGCATCCAACCAAAGTTCCATTTTAGGTTTTTCTAGGTGGGTTGCTTCACGGCAAGATATTGGTAGGACTAACGGATTACACAAAAGGTGCACGACTAACTTTGCATGCTCCATCTTTCAACCCTTTGCCTATCGGCTTGGCAACAGGCTACCTTGATCCGCCTTTGATTCCGATTCGTTATGCTTAGCATCTCTAACAAGCTCAGCCGCCTTTGCATGAATTTAGTTTTGGTTGGTTAGTGTCTTATTTAGTCCTCGCTGTCAAACCCTACCTTTTTAAAAAAAATGGAAAAGAAGACAGTGGTAGAGTGTTGACCTACTCAGAGAGAACAATATCATACCATTATTATCGAAAGATTCGTTGACCTACTCAGAGAGAATGATATCATATTATTATTATCGAGAGACTCGTTAACCTAATCGAAGAGAATAATATCATACCATTGTTACCGTCGAGTAGATTGTAAACAAAAAAAAAAATAAAAAGGGTAACCATTTGGTAAAACGTGCTTGTTTATGAGGTCCACGTCAAAGCCTAACCCACTTTCCTATTCTAAATTTCAAGTTTCCATTTTTACACTAAGCTACAAAAATGGGATATTTACCCGCCCTTTCTAAAACAACCATTCTTTCAGGGGTACAACAGTAACTTTCCCCATTTCAACCGTTTTAATCAAAACGTTGTCCGGATGTTCCAGTCCCACGCGCGCCATTGTCGTGCTTAATCAACAATCGCTTAAAAACTTTCACACTCGATTTCCCACTCTTTATATCTAATAAAATTTGGATTATGGTTTTGAGTTAGGACAGTTCAAATAAATGATCAAATTGAGTTGTTTTATATATACATATATTTATTTTATGTTTATTTAATTTCCATAAGTACTTTTTTTATTATTTATTTTTCAAAAACACTTTAAAATAAGTTTTAAATGTTAAAAAATAAATTGATCATTTTCTAACGAAACAAGTGGACCCCACTACTGTTAGTATCCCTACTGGGCGAGTAAGATTGATTTTCATACGCGCGAGAGTGGGATTGGGAATGCTTCAGGCATCACCCTCTCATTTTGTCCTTCCCGCGGCCATTAAATGATCCTTCTCACCCACACTGCTCTTCCACTCTGCTCTTTCAGTTAGAGAGAGAGAGAGAGAGAGAGAGAGAGAGAGTTCAACAAACAACGACTTAATACAGAGAGAGAGAGAGAGAGAGAGAGAGAGAGAGGAGGAGGAAGAAGCCATTAATGCAGAGCTCAACCACCCATTTCTAGGGCAATATTACTTCACTCACATTCCACAAAGAGATTAACGACGCCTCAGATTCACCAATGTGACACTCTCCTCTTCAAGCATTGCATTGTTTCTTAGTAACTTTCTCTCTCTCTTGGTGCTGGATTGCTTGTCTGTTTCCTTTCTCTGGTTTAGCTCATAGATCGCGGTCCACTATGTGGAACACGGCAGAGAACGTGTTCGTTCGGACGGCGTCGTTTAGGGAGGAGGGGGAAGATGAGGAGGCTCTCCGGTGGGCGGCACTGGAGAGGCTGCCGACGTATTCGCGTGTGCGGAGAGGAATTTTCAAGAACATTGTTGGAGATACCAAGGAGGTTGATGTTAGTGAGCTTGAGGCTCAGGAGCAGAAGCTTCTTATTGACAGATTGGTTAGTTCGGTTGATGATGATCCCGAGGTGTTCTTTCAACGAATGCGACGGCGCTTCGACGCGTAATTCTAATTCATCCTTTTTGTTAATTGCTTATTATTTGATGTGTTCATTACTGTTCTTGTTTCTTGGGAAAAAGTTTAGGAAAAACAAAAGGATAATGGCGATCTTCTTTTGGTTATATTCCTGTTTTGCTTCTTATTAATTAATGAACAACAGGACCTGTGATTATTGGGTAGAATGTCGTTTTCTTGCTTCACGGAGCTGTTTTTCACTAATTACTACCGTTAGAAGTTCGAGATTGTGTCAATTTGAGGGTCGTCAGTCGTACAGCTACTAGCAATGCTTGCCAATTCTTTTTTCCTGCTGAATTTGGCTTGTGAATTTGTAACTTTTCTGATTATTGTACTACTGGAATAGCTAAATTGATTTACATTCTCTGACTTTTTAGTGTTGATTTGGAGTTCCCAAAGATTGAGGTTAGATTTCAACAGTTGACTGTAGAATCGTTTGTTCACATTGGAACCAGGGCTCTGCCGACTATTCCCAACTTCATGTGCAACATGATGGAGGTAGGGTAGTATTTACTCTGTATCTCGAACAGGGGTACGCCATTTTTCTGTTAATCAACCATGGAAAATTGCCTTCTTCATCTGTTCGTCTGAAGGTTACTTGATGTTCATATTTATTGTGCCAGACACTTCTTAGGAAACTGAAAATATACAGCAGTCAGAGAAGTAAGCTGACAATTTTAGACAATGTCAGTGGAATTATAAGACCTTCCAGGTAAACTTCCTAGTTCTTAGAATAGTAGAGGTTGAATCTTTGATTATGTTTCTATATTTAACATGACAAGATCACGAGCTCTTTTGTAGATTGACTTTGTTACTGGGTCCCCCAAGCTCTGGAAAAACAACTTTTCTTCTAGCCCTTGCTGGTCGCCTTGAAAGTGATTTGCAGGTACTGAATAATTGAAACTTTGCACTTCACTGCAAAAACATTCTTCATATTAGCTACGAATTCTAACTTCATCGATTATTTAAACTATTTATTCTTAATTCTTTGGTCAGCAATCAGGGAGAATAACATATAATGGGCATGGCTTCAATGAGTTTGTTCCGCAGAGGACAGCAGCTTATGTTAGTCAGCAGGATCGACATATTGCAGAAATAACTGTTAGAGAAACCCTTGATTTTGCAGGCCGTTGTCAAGGCGTTGGGTTCAACTATGGTAAAGCTATGAAAAATCTTGCAGTGTGATAGCTAATACTTCTCCTAATACTTATTTGACCTGTGACAGACATGCTCATGGAACTAGCAAGAAGGGAAAAGATTGCAGGGATAAAACCTGATGAAGATCTTGATATATTTATGAAGGTATGTGATGTTTTTCGTTTTATTTCCTTTTGTTACCGTGTTGAATGTCAGATATATATTAAATGATTTGAATTTGAC